TTTTTTTTTTTTTTTTTTTTTTTTTTAATACAATAGATTGTTGCTTGAAATCCTTTAGGTTTCATTCACACAATGCGATTTGGGATTCCTGCCTTCGGAATCCCAATAGTCCTGTTTAGCTGTGGCCGCTGTACCCATTCAAGTTCATGACTGGGTGACAGCGGCCGTATCTGTAAGCGGCAGTCCACATCTAATCCTATGTCGTAACAATTGCATGCGGTTTGGGATCGATCACGATCCCTGGATGCAGGATAGATGTATCCAGGGATCGTGATCTATTCATGTGGACTGCCGATTTACAGATGCGCCTGTTGTCACCCAGTCATGAATTTGGACTGGCACAGCGGCCGCAGCTAAACGGGACATTTAGGATTCAGGAATCTCAAATTGCGCAGTTTAACAAAGCCTTATTGTTGCATGTAAGGCCGGCATTGGATTTACCAATGACTGTGGACTGAGAGCAACTTTCCAATTACATAAAAATGGAATAGATGGTTTAGGGCAGGAGTAGCCAAACTGCGGCCCTCCAGCTGTGGGGAAACTACAAATCCCATGATGCATCTCTCTCTGGTAGTCGTGGCTGTGAGAATCTTGCAATGCCTCGTGGGATTTGTAGTTCCACCCCACAGCTGGAGGGCCGGAGTTTGGCTACCCCTGGTTCAGAAGAACTCCTCTTCCATTGGTCTGACTTCAGCTAACTGACATCTGATTGGCTCCTGCAGGCCATAGCGCTGTGCCGGGTGACCATAGGCGTTCACTGGCGGCACTCACCGATCTTCATCTGGAAGTTGTTGAACGAATGTTCGTTGATGTATTTCATCTGATCCATCAGCCTCATTGCGTAATCGGCCAGCGCCTTGATGTGCGATTTTCCCGCCTTGTCGTAAGTCGTGTCGTTAAGTCCCGAAGCCGCCATGTAGGTGCTGCCGATGGTCTTAATCTTCTCCAGCTGCCGAAACTCATCCTCGCTGATGATCTGTCAATGGAAGGGGGGGAGGGGGCGTAATTGGAAGATACAGGTTATCTATTATGTAGCCGAGTCCATCTAATAATAAACGTTCCCTATATATTATGTGTCCCTTAAAGGAGAACTCTGGGGTCAGGGCTTCTCCCCATAGTTCTCCTTAGGGTAACGGGAGGACACAAACTAGCGTCCTCCCGTCACCCTAGGCTCAGTATATAGGGAGCTACAGCTACTGAGACACCGCAGCTGAAGCGGATCCCGACAATTATGTCTGGATCCGCCCAGCTGCATGACTGACAGCTGGCTCTGCCTATCTAGAGGCAGAGCCAGCTGTACCCTCCCCCTCCCCCGTCCGTTCCGCCAGTCAGCACTGGAGGATCGGAGCGGGAATCCAGCCCCTCCCCTGTCATGGCAGAGAGGCGTGACAGGGTGGAGAGGTGAGCGAACGCCGGTATGTGTTCGCTCACCTCCCGATCTACTGAGCCGTCCTGTGACAGTCTCATTGGCACAGGTCGGCCAGAACTATGAGGTGAGTGAAAAGCCCCCTCCCCCTCCCCCCTCATAGTTCTCCTTTAAAGGTTATCTAGAGCCAACAAGTATTTTTGGCTGGAATGTGGAAGAGTTAGGACCCCTGTTAGGTTTTTATTTCCACTAATGGGATTCATTGGTGATCGCTGGCACTGAGGCGGCCAAGGGGCTGATTCATGAATCTTCTGGCCAGCCTGTCTCAGACAGGACTATTCCTCTGCTCCTCAGCTCCATCTAGTGGCGGTTGCGTCATGTGAACGGCATTCACTCGGCCATACGCCGGGCAGATGTTTTCGGTCCATTAAGGAAGAACTCTAGGGGGGAAAAAATGTATTATCCCTTACAGTGGGGCTACACCGGCACTGCAAGGGTTAAGTGCTTCTTTGTGTCTGGGTGCTAACAGTAGCGTCCC